AGAGCCGTAGTTCACTGACAAGCTACGCAAACAGCTTTCATAATCGCAGAACGATTTCTTCTATTTCATAATCGCGTGATTATATTGTCTGCAATTATGAACATGATTTTACGTAGCTTGTCAGTTAACTACGGCTCTGTGGAGTAAATGCTGCTCCATCTGAAAGCATGTGATGGAGATTTACTACTGATTACAGAACCGGCTTTACTGACAAGATGCACATGACAATCACATTCGATTAATCGTGCAGCCCTAAGAGTAAGTTAACAAAGTGAGCAGTGTGACAGAGGGCCCATAGCCAGTTTAGTCCACAATAAGACAGTGACATGATCCCCTGGTGATGATACACTGAGATTAGAGCAATGAGACATGACCAACGGGCCCTTATGTAACAGTTTGAGGGGGGAAAACAATATTTTTTTCTTTTCCATCTCGATTGCAGTGAGGAAATACAGCAAATCCCAAAAGGAAACAGTGAGGAACACATATCCAAAAACAACCATTTATTATTCCATGGCGAAGTGAAAACATCTCATGAGTCAAACACGTACGTAGGTAATAGTGCGCTACAGTAAGGTTCCAGAAGTAAAAATCCTTTTTATTTTCCCCATAGGGAAATAGATTTTGAATTAGGGATGTTCATTTTAACCGTTTAACCGGTTAACCGACCGTAAGAATTTTGACCGATTAATACAATCAGTTAAACGGTTTAAAAAGTCATTTAATTATTTATTTTTTCAGTAATTTATCAAAATATTTAAAAAGGTTGGCTGTATGGTTAAAATACACTACGCGTATAAAAAAAAGTGTTTTTTTAGGGGGAAAAAAACTTAAGTCGCATCTAAGTCGCATTTTATTGTTTCATTCAGAAATAGGACTAATGCAGACGCGAAATGTTTACAAACATTATAATAAACACTGTAAACATAGCTAGGCTATTTTAGTTCCCCTCACTCCACAACAAATCCTTTCAATTAACAGTATTTAGAAAAGAACAAGAATTAAAAATATAAGAAGCTATAGCAATATAAACGACAAGCCAAAATTAATTCATTTAGGCTAAAATGAAACTGAAACCAACGTTGGGTCTCTCATTCAACACAAAATCAAATGTTTCCGTATTCACAATGTATTTGAATGGCAAATTATTATTTATTATGTACTTCACTCGCGTTCCAATATCCACGTAAAACTAAATGTTTTGCATAACATCACGGCGGT